TACTACTACTACTACTACTACTACTACTACTACTACTACTACTACTATAATGGTTTTTGAGCTTGTGGACATATAAACTCACTTACAACTCCTGTATCTAGGTTTATAATATGCGTATCTTCTGGTTATAAATAGGGAAGTTATGATAATTGATATATAAGTTGGGGCCTACTTGTAGATTAGATAGCAGAACTTAAGAACTTATAACCACAACATAGGGCAACGTAGCAAGTTAACTTACGAGCGTTTACAAGTTCTGCTAAGTTCGGCACGATGACTCGACCAAAAATCAGCTTCTTTTCCACCGTCGGCCTTTACGTGGTTCAAATGGTGTGGATAAAAATAGGCCGTGTCAGGGTCGTGTCAGGGCCGTGTCAGGGCCGTGTCAGGGCCGTGTCAGGGCCGTGTCAGGGTCGTGTCAGGGCCGTGTCAGGGGCCGTGTCGGGGCCGTGTCAGGGCCGTGTCAGGGTCGTGTCAGGGCCCACCAAAAAATCAAAAACGACCACCCCCCGGAAAAAAATGTGGTGATTTTCTAGAAGTACAAAACAGGGCAACGTGGGGAACTTATAAGTTCCATAAGTTCATTTGCACTTTATCACGTCTAGGGGCCTAGGGGTTCATAAGTTAGATATATCTTAGGGTTATAAGTCCACAAGCTCAAAAACCGTTATAGTACGCCTACGACTACGACTACGACTACGACTACTACTACTACTACTACTACTACTACTACTACTACTACTACAACAAGCGCCCCGGACGTTTCCAAGGTTCGGGCCCCGAAGGTCGGGCCCCGAATTGTGCACTACTAACTACTACTACTACTACTACTACTGCTACTACTACTACTACTGCTACTACTACCACTACCACTACCACTACCACTACTACTACTACTACTACTACGACTACGACTACGACTACGACTACGACTACGACTACGACTACTACTACTACTACTACTACTACTGTTACTACTACTACTACTACTACTACTACTACTACTACGACTACTACTACGACTACGACTACGACTACTACTACTACTACTACTGCTACTCCTACTACTACTACTACTACTACTACTACTACTACTACTACTACTACGACTACGACTACGACTACGACTACGAACTACGAACTACGAACTACGGACTACGGACTACGACTACGACTACGACTACGACTACGACTACGACCACTACTACGACTACGACCACTACGACCACTACAGCCACTACGACCACTACGACGAAGGCGACGACGACTACTACTAATAGTAATACTACTTACTACTTGCTACTTGCTACTTAATTACTACTTACTACTACTCTACTACTACTACTCGGGCCCTGGAAGTTTCCCAGGTGAAATGATCTGAGTTGTATTATTAGTGGGGCACAGGTCTCCTGATGAAAGCATTCGCTTCGGACAAAACAGTAAGACTTGGCGCTGAAGGACTTGTGCGATGGGCTGAAATACACAACAAGGGTGATGTCAACGCGGTTGTTTTGAAATGTCATGGTGGGGATCACTCGAAGTCAAGTAATTGGCTTGTTTTTGTTTTCAATGGTCCTGTATTTTGGAAATGAGTGTGCTATTCGGGGTCGATCTCTAACTCAATTGCCTCCCGAGGTCTTTGCCCTTCCAGGGCCTTCTGGCACCTTGTCCGCTCGGAGAAGACGCCATCCAGCGAGCCGGATTCGGGTGGCCTGTGTACGCCGGCGTCATAGCACTCGTACCCAGACACCTACCCAAGCTGTTTTCAGCAGGGTCAAGCCCTTACCTCCAGCAAGGCCACATGTATTTGTCATGCAGGTCAAGCAGCGCAAAGCTCTGGCTGTCGATGAGCCTCTTCCGCTGGCATCCCTGCCAAAGGCGGAAGGACAGCTCCACCTTCAACTCCCAAGCCTCTTCGGTGCACTGCTTGAAAAAATGCGGAAGAGGCTACTAGCCGCAGTAGCCTTGGGCGCCACCTATAGCTATCGATCAAGCTGGGCAATTTTCAATTCAACAAGAGTGGAAAATATTTTGAACATCCAAGAACGTTTCTTTGCAAGCATGGAGAACCCCAACTCATACACTCACTCATACTCAACCCAACTCCCCAGGTCCACCACCGCCACACCCACCAGGCCCACCCGTCCTGAATCCGATCCCGTGCAATGCCCCCACTCCACTCCAGTCAAGCAGCGAAAAGCTTTGGCTGTCAAGGAGCCCCGGCAGCAGCAGCTTGAAGTCCGAGAGCTGTTTGGCCTGCAGTGGAGAGGAGAGGAGAGGAGAGGAGAGGAGAGCAGAGCAGAGCTGAGCAGAGCAGAGCAGAGGAGAGCAAAGGAGAGCAGAGGAGACACGTTCTCTTTACGAAGAAGTGTGCGAGGAATTGTTCCATGGTGATGTGTGGCGCTGTCGGTGATTTTTCTGGCGTTGCTTCTACTGATTGTAACATGTCAGCTGGCCAGGATCAGTTGACATGTTTCATCCCTCAGTCTTGAGTACAACCACTTCAGCCCCGACAGAAATGCACCACCTCCGCCATGTCAAGGTCTCTGTAGATGCGTCTCGTTTCATCACCGGTTCTACCGAGCCACTCGACCACCGCTCGTGGAGACAAAAAAAGAGCAGCAATCCAATCGAGGCGATCTTCTCCAAAGAACAATGTGACACTTGACATGTTTTACATATCAAAAATGAGTTTCGAGACCTCAATTTTCAACGACTTCTCCTGCGACCTGTTTCGATCATTGTTTGAAAAACACCGGATGCCTGGCTGCTTGCGAAGGGTGCTTTACCAGAGTACGAGGTGGTAGAAGATGGGTGGAGTCCATCCCACTCTCTCCAACCAGCCTAGCCTCGGAGTTCTTTCGCAAGACACAACGCTTCCCACTTGGCGACCAGTATTTTGCACGGGAGGACGAAGACCGCCAGGTGTCTTACGGCCAAAACCACTTCAGGTCCAAATTTGTACGCTGCAAATCTGGGAAACCTGTGACCCCGGAACCAGGGTCCGGCTTCGAATGATGAAGGTCGAGAGCCAAAGTGACATCAAACTATAATATGCTGAAGAACTTGCAAGAAAAATATATCAGACCAATTTGTAAACCATGTTGCACCGGAAAAAAGAAAAAGACTTGAGTAGGTGCTGAGTTCTGAGTAGGTGAACATGTGTCGATCAGAATTGTGCAACACCTTGCAGACCATGCCACGGGCTCACCATCGGGCGACGACGGTCAATGTGGCCACTTTCTTCAGGCAATCGCTCCAAGGCTGCAAGTAATGCCGCCTCACAAAGAAGCGACAAGGCGCTGTCAAGGCGCTAGGGGGGTTCAACCACAGGGGGTTGATTATGCGGAGGTATAGATCCGAGAGGGATAGACCACAAGCTTTTGAGACCTCTTTGAAAGACACTTAAGGGGCAACAATTGAGTCTTGAAATATCATGTGCAGGTCATCTAGCAATCAACTAGTTGATTAGCAGAGCTTGATGTGGATGGGTCTCACAATGACCACACCTGTTCTTTCCATGCTGCTGCCGACGGTCTTTGGAAATGCTTGCTATGCTGAGACAAACGGGACGTCGATTTTCAGGCCCAGCGAGGGCGGCTCGAACGGCTCATACCTCCCAAGTTCGGGTCGTCAGTATCTCGGCAACTCTCTTTTCCACTCTTATTAACAGCCCAGACCGTTCGGGTCATCCAAGGAGCGCACCGTGTCACACCGTGTGGAGCTCCATTCAATGTGCGCTTTTGGTTGCTTTTCGAGCTCGCTCGCCCAGGAGAGAAACACTTAGCTGTCTTGGGCCCCACTGGTCAACCGCAAACTCGCTGAGAAAATGGATCAAATGAACGAACACCAGCCATGGCTGAAAAACACGTCGGTTCTGCTCAAAGGACCGTGAAGTTGGAATAACCCATCTCTTCCGGCAGGCGCTCATCAATGACTCTCCTTGCCAGGATCCACCAGTCAAGGCGGCTAAACACTTTACAGGCTTCAAGTGGCTTGATTGCTTTCAGAATGGTAGGGGGAGTGTGAGGACAAGAACGTGTTCTGCCTTGTCGCACTTTGTTTCAACTGATGTTACAGAAAGTCAAATTATGTTCGAATGCCTGCGTTCTTTGGGCACAGTTTGAGAGACAAAGCACAACCGCACGTGAGACCCTCCAAGGTCCGGGCATCTAAACAGGTTGAAGTTTGGGTGCGAGTTCCCGAAAGCTAGTTCCATCGAACCAGCATGAAAATGATTCAACAACTCAACAACGATGCTGGACACTTGCTGGCAGAAGACTCAAGAGTGTTCGCTAGGGTTTCAGATTCAATCTGACTTATATTCCCGAGAGACGGAAGTCCACTGCAGTAGCCTTCTTAGCAGTGCAAAACTGCTCAGGGTCAAGAAAGGCATGGCCAGAATTCGTTGATCCCCAAACAATCCACACACCTCCTGTCAATGTTTAGGCTCCAACGGCGCCGGCACCAACATGCGTCAACAACTTCAGGGAGCGTGGGCCAAGTGGGGATCCAGTTCACCATGCGGCGGGTGTCGAGGGCGATTACCCTCTCCATCTGGGGACAGTCCTTCCATTGGACTCCACGACAGCAAAGGCCATCAGTGTGCAGCCGCCCAGCTGTCGAACGTGTCGCACCACGATGGGCAATCTCAAGTGGGCATGGGGCATGGGAAGGCCCGGCAGGTCAGTGACTGGTTACGTAGGATGTTAGCACGTCTAAGGATCTGATCTGATGTACTGGAAGTTTTGAGGAACTCGGGAACTCCCCCATGCGGAGTATCCTGCATGATCTTGCTAATGTCCTCATGCCCCATACAAAGGCATTGGTTTGGTACAAACTGTATCTTATATAGGTGGGTCGATGCTTCTTCTACAGGTTCGGGGGCCCGAATTTGAAGCGACACCGGCATCGAATGTCTTAAACGTAGAGGACCCCAGAACAGTAGCAGATGCTAGTCTATGATTGTTTTTCCCACTATAAGTGGAGTACAAGTCAACCGTCAATCAACTCTTCTTACCAACACCAACTCTTCTAAACGCCTCTGAACTCATCCATTTATGGCAGTGGCGTGGTCCAAACCCTCCGCGATTGAGGCTGCCAAGCCCTGGAGGTACATACCAACCCTTCTCTAATGTCGAAAGGCCTCCATCAGTCAACGCTTTAACTCATCAATTTTCCGCCAAGAGACACCTGCCCGATAGGCGGCGACAAACCAGAGACGTCTTCACCCAGTGACTTCTGACCTGAACCGAACGCACAGAAGACATGGGATGAGTAAAAGGATCTATCATCTATCTTAGTCCAAGTTCAAAAAAGAATTACAAAAAAGAAAACTGTTTCACGGCATTCGTTGCAAGGCCTTCTCCAACAGGTTCTAGATTCTAGTTAGGTTCTAGGAACCAGAAAGTCTCTAAACTACTGACACAACTGGAGCATGTATCCAGCGGTATCCGGCTTATTCAGGTAATTACTGCAAACACTCTCCGACCGGAGACCGGTCAAAGCACAGTGATTGAGAACACCCAGCTTGACTCCATCGACTCCGTCCCAGTTGCGATAGAAGATGTTGAAGTGAGTGAGGTCCAGCAAACAAAGATCAAATCTCTGCGCGGACCGCCAATGTGGCACCTTCCTCAGAATCAGCCGCTTTCAAATTGGTGATTTATATAGCTGTGGTAAGAACTGTCTTCCTTTATCACTTGGAGTTCCCCTCCTGCAACGCAAATGGATGGGGCCAGTGGTTGCTTCACCACCCCATGTGAAAGGCTTGCCTTCATCAACAAGACACACACATCCTGTGAGCTAACCTCCCAACACCACGCAATCGAAAATAAGACATTACTGTATTAGTTGCAAAGACCATCATTTGACTGTGGAAGAACAATGAACCAAGACCCGCTTTTTGAGAGTGAAAAGGAAATGTGTCTATCTGCATGTTGACTAGCTGGCAACCCCTCCCCGTGTTCAGTAAGTTGTAAAGGTGGAAAAGATGTCGATCATGAGATTCGCATCCACTCTTTCAGTCCACATCCAACACCAATCAGCCAACGGAGTCAATCTGAAGTAGATACAAGTTGAGCAAATCCCCTGTGAAAAGAATTACTGACCTACTACTTGGGCTGGTTGGTTACTACTTAGCTGGTCTGTTATTATCACCGACAATCCGAGCTCATTTGCAGGTGATGTAGACTTCGGGATGTACCCCCAGGCTGCACAACGCCACACATCACCTCTGCTTGCCCAAGCTCAGCACGTCCCACTGTCGAAACTGCACGCCACGCAGGCCATTGGACAGGACATTGCGGCCTGGCAAGCAGGAAAAACCACGGCCTTGGTCGGCCAGCCCGAAGAAGGGCCTCACTTCGCCCTCAAACAACCCACTCGGCCAAACTACCAAACTAACCTCAGTTTGTCTTCGAAAGCATCTGTCTTGGAAATCGGATGGAATGGATGAATGGATGAAACCCTCCGAAACCCGGAGGGGAAGACCGGCTCCAAACGACCAAACCGGCTCCAAAGGGTCCACCTGCGATCCTCAAGAGCTTCGAGGACACCTCGGTCGCAGTCCTCGGTGTCAAAGAGGCTTCGGTTCCGGGGCTCAACCCTGTACAGCTGGGAAGCAGATTGCGGCATGAAACTCCCTCCCCAACCGGAACATCGATGACTTCAGTTGATTTCGACATGCTTCTTCCAAAATCTGATGGGTTTGTAGCTGCAGCTTTGCTAGGTTCATCTCCTCAACCCTGCAACAAATGTTCACAATGGGATCTTCAGGAGACAACTCAAAAGACCCAAAAGAGGTGCCATGACATCCCAAATAGCCCGCCCTTACAATAAATTCCTCTCTCAGAGCCCCTGTCATTAGGATGTTCCAACCCGCTCCCATCCCTTGTTCCACGGATTCATGGCCACCGCCTCAATCCGGCTCAAGAGCGGGATCGCCTGCTGTAGATCAAAGACGTGCGGCGATGCCACCGCCGTGAAGGCCGCCTTGTAGGAGAAAACGTCAGGTCCCAAGTGCATGGAGCCCATGGCATCCAGTAGACGAAGGGCACACTGCCATTGGACTTCCCTGCTGCAAGCGCTCAGTACTGCATTGAATGTGATGAGATCGGCCTGAAGATGCCATCCGCACATTTGGCTCAGCAAAGACATGGCTGCTTGCCACTCCCCAGATTTCTCACATGCGCTGGTTGCAGCATTCAAGCTAGGTAAAGTGGGCTGTAGGCGCTTCATGTTGAGACGATCCAGCAAGACTAGAGCCAGCTGCCACTGGGCTCCTCTTTCACAGGCGCTGATGCCTGCATTGTACGTTATAACGTTGCATTCCTCTTGCTTTTCAGCCATGTCGAAGACCATCAACGCTTCCTGCCATGCTTCGGCAAGAGAGCACGCCGTCACCGCTGCACTGTAGGTGACCACGCTGGCCAAGCCTCTGTCCCCAGCTTCTTCGAAAAGGAGCAAAGCTTGCTGCCATTCGGCTGCTTTCCCACACGCACTGATAGCAGCGCTGTATGTATAGCTATTGGTTTCAGCTGCAGATTCTGCAGAAGCGAGCAACAAAAACGCGTGCTGCCATGCTCCGGACTTTTCGCATGCGCTCGCTGCAGCACTGTACATCACCACGTCAGGTTGCACAGAGCAGTCGATCTCCATCAAAGCCAGAAGGCTCAAGGCCTCTTGCCATTTGGTCGCTTTCTCACAAGCACTGATGACAGCGCTGACAGTCATCTTGTCGCAGAGCGTCTGTCGACCAGCTTCTTTCAACAAAAGCAAGGCGCGTTCCCACTGGACGGCTCGTTCACATGCAGTGGCAGCAGCGGAATAGCTTACAACATCTGGCCGCAAGTCGCTTGCCAAAGGGTCTTCTTCAACAATTTGCATCGTGGCCAACAAAGCCAAAGCCAACTTCCACTGCCCGGCGTTGCCACATGCAGAGATGGCCGAATTGTATGTTACGATGTCTGTCTCAACATGGATGTGTTGAAAATGCTCAAAAATCGCTAGGGCTTGCTGCCATTGACCTGCTTTCTCACAGGCACTCAAAGCCGCATTGCAGCTGATCGTATCAGGTCTCAAAAGCTTCAGCTGGAGTCCACAGAAGACACGCAAGGCCTGCTGCCACTCTGAGGCTTTTCCACATGTACTGATTACAGCATTGTAAGTGACAATGTCGGACTCCAGTTCTCTTGATGCAACTTCCTCAAGCAACGCCAAGGCTTTCTCCCACTCTGCGGCCTTTTGACAAACACTGATAGTTGCATTAAAGGTGATGACATTGGGAGTCAAATGTCTACTTTCGGCTTCACTCAGCAATTTAATCGCGCGCTGCCACTGCTGACCACTCTTGCAGGCAGCAATGGCCTTGGTATACTCCACAATGCTCAAGCTGCTGGCAGCGCTGGCAGCCCCAGAACGCCCTGTCGGAAGGCCCATCGTGGAAAAACAGAAATGAACGTAGCGCTTCCGCTTCAGCCCTTGCGGCGGATAAAACACCACTGTGAGGACCCCAAGTGTCAGCAAAAATCAACAGTGGGGAGATCGTCCTCCTTTTTAGGTGAACTGCTAACTCTGGCGGAGGATGTCGATGTTCCGAACAGCAGAGTTGGGGTGCACTTTTTGCCAGTGCAGGGATTTCGAGCGTTTATGTTGAAAAGGGGCGGATACAGATATTAATTTTAATGAATTCCCATAGATTCCCCTACAAAGCCCAACAAAAACATTGTTAGTATTCATCTTCATCTCCTGCGCTCAGAGTCCGTTACAAAAAGTCCCTCAAACTGTACATCGATCACAATCGAACTGTATCATCAACCACTTTCTTTAGCCCTCTAAAGCCAAGTGTCCCACATTCCAGACCCTTCCCGCTCTCCCACTGCCCTTCGCCCAAGGCGCACGTTGTGGCCCTTGGCCGCCGCAGCGATGGTGCTCAGCCCGAAGCCACAAGAGACGTCCAGCATCCGCAGTGGACGGCCTCGGAGCTCCGGCTGAGCGGCGAGGGGGTGACATGGACAGAAAATCGTGACTGAAAACATCCGTTGATGAAGGACTAGTTAGACTAGTTCTTGGTTGGTTTTGACCCGGACAAGTAATCCAGTAATACAGCCTCGGCATCGAGCCCTGGGACCCTGGTTCTGACAGGGATGTCAACCTAGGTCTCACTCAATGTGAATCGGCCTGGCCTGTGGGTATTCATCTGGATTTACATTCTGTAGAAGCACGATGAAGCACGGTGCAGTGATGATTTCATCATGAAACCACCCTCCATCTCCAACAAAACCTCCATCTGGTCCACGATTCACTCATACTGCCACACCTGCCACACCCGCTCTTTTCATCAAGGCTCGGTGGGGCAAGCGGCTCAAGGCTTCCGCAGCTTCTGACCAGCCAAAGGCATCTGCCAACCGTTGAGCCTCTCATCGAGACCGCGCCGCACCGGAACCGAGGTCGACTGGCCTTCGTCGACCCGTGGGGACCGTTGAGCCTCTCTCGGTTCCGGTTCCGGTCGACTCGGTTCCGGTCGTTTTGGACGGATGGAAGAGGCGAAAAAACCTCAGTCTGTTCGGTCACTTCCATCCGTATGGCCACACTATCAATCGGGAGCTCCAGAGATGGGCCGAGTATGAACAAACCACATGTAGATCAGTGAAGCCTGAGTCTTGGATGCTCCAATTCAAGCAAAGTCTTTTTCTATCAGCCCCTGAAACTGCCAACATGGTACATGGGAAAGATCTGCAAAGCCGCTCCAACTTCGACTTCGTCGCATTGTTCTTCAGGCGAACCACTTCTCCTCACAGGCCTTCCTTCAAACCCGTTCCTCCCACGGTGCTCCGCTCCGCAGTGCTCCAGTCGCCTCGGGGATCCCGGAGACCAAGCGCGCAAAGATCCACCCCGCCGGCCAGAACTCCAAGTTCAGCTGCGGGTGTTGCCTGGAACAAAAACGGGTTGAGGGGACTGGATGCTCCTGGATGGGCATTTGCTGGCTTTCCCCAAAATCCGAGGCATCACCTCAAACCCTAGATGATCTTGGTGCCGTGAGGGAGAAACTAGGATTATCTGGGATTTGAAGTGCAAATCTGCCAAACTGTGGAAGAACTGACTTGTATATAATCGTCATGTACAACCGATAAATTGTCCATTGGTGTCCATGTTGAAAAGAAAACAGCCGGAATGTGCACCCAGCTTTGTCTATCTACATACAAATTCTCCAAAAATTGATCCCTGCTCATCTTTGATGACGCAACCTTCAACCTATCATCGCTCGCTGATCAACTTGCAGTCTGGCCATTCGGACTCCAAAGACACCGCAAACGTACCACCCATCCGCCACGGCCTCAGTCTCATCCGTCCGACCTTCGGCAGCTCAAACTCGGCCTCCTCTGCCTGAGCCGTCGGGCCCGGCGCGATCGAAGGGGCGCGAAGCAGCGGTCTCGCCCTGTAGGCGTTTCAAAGGCTGCGCTGCGTTCAGATTCTGAACATGTTTTGTGTTCATGTTGGGACACTCGACAGGTCGCCTTGTTTTTTCGTGGGCCTTTCCATATCCACCCCAAAGAACTCGCATGGTGCTTTGAACCAGGTATGCCTGGGTCAAGTCGGCACAGAAGGGACCCCATAAATGAAAGATATGGCAACCCTTCTGCAAGTTGTGTGTGGGGGGATCCAATTATTGGAAGATAATTTGCTCATGAACATTCTGAGATGAGCTCGCTCAGTGCTTCGAGCCAATGCAGAGATCCCCTGAATCTACCTGGGTGGCTCTTCACTGCCAGTCCACGAGCATTTTGGCCTGCCGTCCCAGGCCTCCTCCAGCTGATAGGGTAGCCCACGAATCTTGGGCCCGTAGTGAAAATAACAACAGCTCCTTGGCGGCTGGGCGGCTTGGAAGTGCGCGAAGCCGCGTCGCAAGGGGAAGAAACACCGTAGAACAGGGTCGCCGAGTCCAGGAAGACCAGGTGGGCAAGTCTTTAAAAAGGAAAGACAAAATGACTTCACCTGATGACTTCACCGTAGCCATTTTGGCCCCAAAGTACACATCGGATCGAAGGTCTCGCTCGTTCTGATTTCAAGTGGCTCGAAGTTGGCATCTCGCTGCTCCCAACACATGGGCTGAAGCACCTGATGACGACCCCCAACGAGACCTGCTGAGCGTCTGACTCTGGGAGTTCCACAAATGTTCAAAGCTACCCTGACCCTTTTGAGGAAAACATACCAAGACCATCCAAGACCCAACAGTACACATGTGGATTCTATTCAGCATCTGGATTCGTTCCAGCCTGATTTTAGGCACCCAAGTGGAAGGGAAGTTCGACCCAGACCTGTAGATTCCCAAAAATATCGAACTGCGCAGCCAAGTAGTTTCCAAACTGAAGAAACCACTATATTACCCTATGTAACATCCAAAACCATCTACAAAGAGTTCCCATGTGCCTTGTCTACGACCACGCGCCTTCTGCCAACACCTGTTTCCTCATGTTTCCACCAAAAGCACATCAATTTTGAGAACTTCCCCAGTCGTGCCTCCTTCATCCAGGCACTCTCAGCCAAGCGGCAGCATTTGCCTCGGGGATCCCCAAAAACGCTTTCTTTCCTCCACTGCATCCTGAAATGTTGGAAAAAGATCAGCACTCAAAGCAAGATGTTCCTTGGGATTTTGAACGGGTGACGGTAACCCCTACGTTCTGCAGTTTGTACTCATTCTAAGGCAGCAGAGTTCAACACAGCAAAACAACAAAGCCACGTGACTGAACCACGTGCCTCTTCTTTGTCCATCTGGGCCAACTCAAGTTCACTCAAACACGCACCTTTTGTGGTTGTTCTCCAATTTATTGGGGGGGGCTGCTCAAGTTTCACAATCCCAGGAAGTACCGAGGTGTCCACCAAGCCACTATAGCCCAAAGATCCCACGAAGCATCGCTCCATCAAGGGCGAGTGCAACGCCTCGGAACGTGGGTTCGACGCCGAAGGGTTTGTTAGCGAGTCTTCAGAGTGAGGGATCGGAAAAAGAAAAATGAAACAGAATCATAAGTCATAAACGTTGAGGACCGAGAAAAAAAACAAAATGGGTCAAAAAAAACAAAACCTGAGTCAGGAAGTCGTTCTTCGAGGGATCGCAAGCAACACGGGTCAAATTGGGTTCATCAAAATGAGCGCGCCTACAAAACTAATCCGAAACCACACTAATCCGAAAAATGCATGTAATCCGAACAATCCTTAATCCGCAGTAGTCCGTAATCCTTACCGAGCCTTATAGTCCGTAATCCTTATACGCCGTAGGAAGGAATGAATCCAAACTCCATTCAGGGGGCTGTTGGGTTGGAAAATTAGAGCCATAGGGATCATCACAGCCCCGATTTGGAAGCAACCCCCTCAAAGCACTGAATTGGGGGCTCTGGATTGTGAAGGGTGTTTGTGGCCATCAGAATTGTGAAGGGTGCCTGTGGCCAAAGGAACC